TTCCTCTGGAGGAATTCCCTGATTCCTCCAGGTAGTGACTTTGCCATAACCAGCTGAGTTCTTATAATATTCCTGCGGCCCGCAGCAAGGACCCAGTTCCTAGCACTCACATAGTGGCCCACAGATATCTATAACTCCAGTTCCAGGGAGTCTGATACCTTTTGTCCCTCAAGAACACAGACATACATGCAGGCAAAACACCCATACATAGAAACAGAAATAATCTTTTTTTTCTCCTTAAATCTGTTCTGCCTAATCAATGATTTGGTATAGGTACAAGTTATTTAACACAAACTTTCCCTTGGCTTGGTAAGAGGACACCAAAGACTGTACAATTGTCTATGATAATCCTGGGTCAAAATATTTAGACTAGTTTGTTTGGCTTTCCAGAGCAGATGGTGAGAATTAAATTTTGGGTGACCTTTTCTACTTGAGTTATTCTTGCTCTTGCCATAGCATTTTGCATAGTATGAATAAAGTGAGTGAGTTTTCTTTTCCAAGAACTTTTAGATGTGGCATATACTCCTGGCATGTTGGAAATGCATACTTTCCCCCAAGGAGAAAAAAGTTAATTATCTGAATGGTTAAAAAAATTTCTCTATACACAAGATGGATTTTTGTGTAGGACACATGTATAAGCCTGGTTTTGCAGAAGTAATTCCTAATGGTACAGAAAATAATGGGAACATTAATATCATTATTTTGGGTTGTTTAGTCTATATGTACTTCTTTGGAGTAGTTAGTTTAAGCTGACTAAGGAAGTACCCAGAAGAAATAAAAATAGTGGGCTGGAGAGATAGCGAAGGGCTACAAACTCAGACTGCCCTTGCAGAGGACTCAAGTTCAATTCCCAGCCCCATTTTGGGTGGTTTACCTTCGCCTGTAACTCCAGCTTCAGGGGACCTGAGAACTCTGGCCTCTGTAGGTATATGCTCATACCTATACACAGACACATAATTAAAAATAATCAGTCTTTTTTTGTAAAAGAAAAGCATTCTTATAAGAAGTAGAACATAGATGTCAGTAGCACTATTCTTAGTAGCCTAAAAAAGTGAAAACAACTTAGTTGTCCATCAACTGAGACTGGATACGGTGTGCTGTGTCTCCACAATGGCCTGTTTCATGTGCAATAAAAAGGAATGAAGAACTAGACATGGCTCTGGCATGGATAATCTTGAAAGTGTGGTAAGTAAAGGAAGTCAATACTAAAAGACCACACACTGATTTAATTTGCATAAAATCTAGAAAAGGTGAATCTGGAGACAAAAACATTAGTTGCTGCTTAGGGCTGTTTTGGGTTAGGAGATAGGATTAACTTAATGAATAGGAGGTTTCTTCATGGGAGCAGGATAAAAAAGATAAAAATTTCAAAACAAAAGGATGTTCTAGAGTCAGATTGTGATGCTGCTGGCACAGCTGTGTGTAGACTGAAAACACTAGATGGTGACTTGTGGTGGGTTGTGTCTAAAAGCTTTTTTAAAAATCTAAGGCAACTGCTGAAGTAAATAGGTCATGGGAAAATATAACAACTACAGAAATTAAAGAATTCTTGATGATTTTCACCTGTTCCCCCTTCCCCCCA